GCGCACTCCTGAGGGGGGGCGACATGGGGGGTGCATGCCCCCCAGATGTGTGTGGTGGTGGGGTGGATGTGGGCTGGTGGTTGCAGGCTCAGGACTCCCTGGCCTTTGCCACTGTAAGCCCTGTGCTGACCTGGTGAAACAGCAGCAGCAGGGATGGCAGCGCAGAGTTGTGCCCCCCACTGCAGCCATGTGGGCAGGGGCACCTCGCCGTGGTGGTGGACTGAGCCTCCCCACCCCGCTCTGCCCTGCCAGGCCAGGTCCCACCTGCTGGGCCGCAGAGGCAGGGGAGCAGCGCCAGCCCACGTCTGCCCTTCCCTTGCACAGGCTCTGCTCCGGCGGTGCCCCCATGGGGGAGGGGGAGGTGGGCTTCGTGCTCCGCTCTGGCTGCAGCAGCCGCTGCCTCCCGTGGGTGGTAGCTGGGGCTCAGGTGCTGTTGGGAGGGCAAGGGGCTGTGGACCCGGGTCCCTGGCCTCACAGCCCTGGCAGCTGGGGTGCCCCCTCTGGAGGAGTTAGTGGGGGCTGTGGGTGGGGAGTGAGGCGCAATGGCAGGGCTGGGGGGCCATGGGTCAGGAGTGAGGGGCATCCCTGCTGTCATTTTCCCCCCACCTTGACTCCGCATCCGGCCCTGTGCCCCACCCCTTCCACCCCCTCTCCGCCTCCTCCGTCCCCACTGTTGTGGTGGTGCTCCATCCCTGCCGTCATTCTTGACGGGCAATTCGCCCCACGCGAAGCACTGGCTGGACGCAGGGGCTGCCGGGAGCCACCCCCCCAAGGGTGTTATGGACAGACAGACAGACCGAGAGATGAACTAAGCCCTTTGTGTGTGTGTGTGTGTGTGTGTGTGTGTGTGTGTGTGTGTGTGTGTAGTGATTGGGGCACTGGTAAGCTTTCAGATTGCTTTAAAATTGTAAATATATTAATAAAACATTATGCTCAGCTGATTTTTACACACACACACACACACACACACACACACACACACACGGTCTTCATGAAGTCCTTGTGGACTCTTAAACTTTAATAACTTAAGTTGTAGGTATGATAGAAACAATCTGTAAGCGGCATTTAAAAGCAAATTTAGTAAAGTTTTAGGACAACTAGAGTACACAATGCTAGACTTCAACATAACCACCATCCATCATGATAATGTGCTCAATCCAATCTTCCAACTCCATGAAAACGTTTCCCAGTTGCTCTTGAGTTACTGCACTAATTGCATTGATGATCCTAGCCCTAAGTTCCACCAAAGAGCGTGGTTTTGACAAGTAAACTACACTTTCAACATGCCCCCATAAAAAGAAGTCCAACGGCAACAGGTCAGGTGAACGAGGTGGCCAACCCATTGGTTCACCTCTGCCTATCCACTTCTCTGGGAAAACATCATTTAGGAACTGTTGTACATTCAGAGCGTAGTTGCACAGAGCTCCATCTTATTTAAGAACAAATTTGTTATTACTTATGAAGTCTAGCATTGTATACTCTAGTTGTCCTAAAACTTTAATAAATTTGCTTTTAAATGCAATTTTCAGATTATTTCTATCATACCTACAACCTAAGTTATTAAAGTTTAAAAGTGCACAAGGACTTTATGAAGATTCTCTGTGTGTGTGTTAGTGGTGTTTCATTTAAATTGTGGAAAAACATGGACTTTGGTTTTTAAATCAGAGAATATGTGGGTTTTAATGAGAGAATGTTTGGTTTTTAAACAGAGAAAACCAGGATCCCTGCATATAACACTACACACATTTTTCTCCAGTTAAACTTACTAATACCCTAGGGGGTCAGCATGATACTATTCAGTTCAAGAACAAAGCAAAAACAAATATAACTATTGGAACATGCACTAATTTGCTAGATTATCTGTAACATTAAAAAAACCCCTCAACAAACAAGGCAAAAAATAGTCAAAATATTGTGTCATTAGTCCTGCAGTCATTATAGTTAAATGTATGTATCTTATTTAGATTCATAAAACAAAATCTAGCCTTTTGGAGTGTCTTGACTGTGCTTCCAATGCTTCATTGCCAGTCATTTCTGCACCTGAGTTAATATTACTACACCTGTGTAACAGTTTTTAGCTAGAGTTAAAAGCAGTCTGCAGGGTTGTGAAAAAGAAGAGAGGCATTCAATGAGTCATTTATTTTTTTAGCTTATGTGGTCACCAGTGTGAAGAACTTGAAGGCCACCAGATAAAATTGTAAAGGGACACAAGTCATCAATGTGTGACATGGTTTGAATTTGTCCACAAGGGCACCTGGTGTCATTGCGAAGGCCCCATTGGTATACATTTGAGGCACAGTGACCCTGTCCAGTTCGAAAATGGTTGAGAAGTGCCCAATAATGGCGTGGCCAGCTAAATCCTGGTTGACTGACTAGAGGGTCAGAGATGATGCAGTGATTGATTGGCGCTTGTGCTGACTATTCTTCATGCCATTGAGTAAAGAAAAGAAAAGTCAAAGGGTTTTGAAAGGGTGGACCATACTGGGAATCTTGAGAGGAACCCAGATATTGGTGGGTGGAATATGTCCCAGTGCACTGACAGTGAATGATTCTCCTGGAGTCTGGCTAGTAAATTTACTTCAGTATTTGTGCAGCAGAGGTGAGGGGGAGCAATGTTACCAAGTACTGGTAACAATGGGAGTGGAGCGGGCCACAACATGCCTGACATAGGTGCGTTGTAGCATGCAGTTGGGTGTCCACTAGCTGTGCGACAAACGAGGAAAGCATCAGCGTCCTCATTGCACCTCCTGCAAATAGTTGAACCATTGAAGAAACTAATGATGCTACCAGCATATTGAATCAGACAAAGTGCCAGATTCCGGTCAAATGTCAACAATGAATCAATCGACTCTCTCGGCACTGCCTGAATAGAAATTTGGCGTCCCTCTCAGGCACTTGGTTTTAAAGTGTGTGTGTGGAGCAGGAATCAAATAGTGCCCTTGGTGAATCCAACCACAGGGCTTGTACTTCCTGGGCATCCAGAACAATAAAGGTTATTAAAGTTGAAAAGGTTTTGTGTAAAAGCAGGACCTGAAATCTGTGCTGTGAAGGTGACGGGACCAGGCTTCCAACTTCAAATTTATTCCTATGCACAAAGATGCTCATCTTAAAATGTTACCCCCTCATCTTGTAATGGCTGTTGCAAGAATGCCAGGATCTGGTCCCAGGAATGCCAGGATCTGCTCCCATGGGAACTCACAGATGGACGGGGGCCTGGCAGACTAGTCCATATTATTATTTTTTAAAGGATGTTTGAGCCTGTTTTTTTCTCTGCCATTTTCCTGACTATGTATGTCTGTAGACGAAAGCAAAAGAACCAAAATAAAGTAGAGGGTTCCCACCGGAGACAGATTTTGCTGAATGTAAGTGGGGTTCAGCATACTCCCTGCCACCTCTACCACTTTGGAGTTTCTTTCTTCCTAA